AACTGGCATCAGTAAGAATTGGGGAAAGCTCTCCACTGCTTGAAGCCATACCTGGCACAAAGGAAGATGGTTGTGGTTGTTGGAGGTCAGTTATCTCATCTCCAGGACATCTCTCCAGGAGTTCTTCAGGGTAGTGTCCTCAGCACAATCATCTTCAGCTGCTTCATCAGTGAACTTGCCTCCATCATAAGGTCAGAAGTAGGAAAAACAATGATTGCACAATGTTCAGCACCATTCGCAACTCCTCAAATGCTGAAACTATCAAAGTTCAAATGCAGCAAGACTGATATGCAAACGCCAGGAAATAACCATCTCCAACAAGATAGAATCTAACCACTATCCCATGCCTTTCAATTACATTGTTAGATTACATCAATATCCTGAGGGTTACCATTGGTTGAAAAATGGACTAACCACATAAATACTGTAGCTACAAGAACAGGTCAGAGGTTAGGAATCTTGCAGGAAGTAACTCACCTCCTGACTCTCCAAAGCCTGTCCACCATCTACGAAGAACAAGTCAGGATTGTGATGGGCTATTCGTAACTTGCTTGGATGAGATAAGTGCAGCTCTGACAACACTTAAGAAGCTTGACACCACCCAGGATAAAGCTGCCCACTTGATTGATTCCTCATCCACAAATATTCAGACCGTCCATCACTGATGCTTAGTAGCAACAGTGTGTGCCATCTACAGGATGCATTCCAGAAATTCACCAAGGCTCTTTAGACAGTACCTTCCAAACCCACGACCCATTTCCATCTAGAAGGACAAGGGTAGCAGATACATGGGAACACCACCATCTGCAAGTTCTCCTCCAAGCCACTCAGCATCCTGACTTGGAAATATATCAGCTTTCCTTCAGTGTTGCTGGATCAAAATCCTGGAATTCCGTCCCTAACAATGTGGGTCTACTTACAGCATGTGGACCAAAGCAGTCAAAAACCATGAAACCTTTGTCAATTGTTGTGTGAACCATCTGGTTCAATAAAGCCCTTTACGGAAGGAAATCAGCTGTCCTTACCTGGTCTGGCCTACATGTGACTCCAAACTCACAGCGATATGGTTGACCCTTGACTGTCCTCTGGGAAATTAGGGATGGGCAATAAATGCTGGCCTGGCCAGTGATGCCCACATCCCAAGAACAAATAAGAAAACAAGAAGGCAACTCACCACTGCATTCTCCAGCTCAAGCAAGGATGGGCAATAAATGCTGGCCCTGACTGCCCATGAATGACTAAAATAAAGAAAATTCTGCTGGGAATTTGGATCTGTAATAAGTTTAGTGTTGCATTCATGAGAAATGCAATCTTGGCTTGGTGGGTGGATCTTTCACATGTATCAGACATTCATGTGTTCAAATCTCAATCCAAAGTTTTTAGCACATAATGCAAACTGATACACAGTGCAGCACTGAGAGATTGTTCCACTGTCTTTCAGATCAGATGTTACGCATAGGTATGTTTTGAAGCTTTGACTGGTCAATGTCATTCCTCAACCAACATCTCACACACAGAAAGCACACAGATTAATAGATCATTATTCTTTATCACACATACTTTCCATTACTGTCTGAATCTTGGCCAGGACTAGATATATCCACTTCAATGACCAAAATCCAGTTCTCCGACTATAAGTTGACGACCTCAAAAATTCACCCCAACTCCTGACTCTTCAGAGTCAACAGATGGATGTGCCTGAGAATCTCAGAGTTTCTGACTCTTTTCAATTCTTTATCAGAACGTGGTACTGAGGCTGCAGGTAGTCTGGAAGCTGAGCAGAGAGTGCTGGAATAAGTCAGCAGGTCTTGCAGCACTGTGAAAAGTGACATAGTATTAAGGTCTCGAATCCAGTGTGACTGTTCATCGGATGTGAAGCCAGTGTGGTACAGGCAAACTTTAACACACTCTCAAAAGGAAGACTCATAATTCCGCAGCGTGGATCATGACCTCAGGCTGGATAAGCAAATTTCACATAGGGATGTGAATGAGGTGTACTAACCATTGTAACAAATGCAACACAACAGTCTGTTTGTGCAAAGCAAGCTCCTACAAGCACCAGAAAGATATATGACTAGAAAATCTGTTTTAGTGATGTCCAGTTGCAGGATAAATATTGGCCAAAACACCAGAGATCTCATCTCTTCCTCTCGTTTCATGTGATCTTTTACTTCATCTGACGTGGCAGATGACAACCTCAGTTTAATGCCTCATCTGCGAATCAGCACAATGTTACTTCATTTCTGCCCATCTAAGAGTGCCACATTTTCTCGGTACTCCTACAGTGCAGCGCTCCCTCAGTACTGCCCCTCCTATAGTGCAGCGCTCCCTCAGTACTGCCCCTCCTACAGTGCAGTGCTCCCTCAGTACT